TCTAACAGCTAGGGACCAATACACTTGAAATAAATGCACGAAATCCTAGCATTTGCCACGCTGGAATGCTCCTAACCTAAACACGTGGTCCCTCGAGAAACTTACTAAAAGCTTAATAATCGATGGAAAGCGAACCTAATGGAATATAACTAAAATAAACAAAACAATGAAACACTTACATATCTTTTCCGCGCAGTAATGCCTCTAGCTGGCTTATAAAGGTCCATAAAATTCGACGATGATTCCTACAACAACATAACACCGACGATCCTCTAACAGAAGTCCGACAACTAAGCAAGAACGTGACATGTCCCAAGAGTCATAGCGCGGCGAAATAGATAAATAAAAGAAAAACAGAGGAAACACCGGGAATGAAAGGAAAACTAAATACAAAACCGTAACAAACCTCGAAGGAAAATATGCTAAGTAGCTTGGTGCGCAGTCGCAATAGAACCTTATTCGAACTGCGCATGACATTACGTTAGCCTAATTGACAGTTCGACATTGATTTGATGGAGGACGTGGTTGTCCCTTTAAAAGGAACGTGACGAGTTAGCTCCTTGTAGTTGTAGTACTTGCTGTAACCAGTCAAGAGTACCAGAAGAGGACGTTGTGAGTATTGTACCGAAGTAATCAATAGTGGGAATAAAAAGAGAAGCAACCTAACAAAGAGTGTTGGAGTGATCAGCTAATTTCCCCAAAGGTTGCTTCAACAGAATTCTAGAGAATGGAACAAACTGATTACATGTAACGCCTTCAGGCATACTGCATAAAACCTAAAACTTAAGTCGCACTCGGACCAAACTGATCCACATTGCCAGTACTTATGCAGTTTCCGTATCATTCATCAACTGAAAGCATTGCTATTCCCTCTGGAAGGCATTTTTGTTCATCACAGTATAACCTGAAGCAGTTATGTCCAGCGAAACAGTGTGCCTCCCACAAACATGGCTAGAAGAATAGCGCAATGGCCTGACGCTAGACAACTTAGCCTTGTTCAAGTTATCTAGATTCTACATTGAAATTGGACGTGCGCTTAAATTATTCGCTGTTGAACCAGCCAGGCTGGACACAAATCGCCGATCCCACAGCGCAATTCTTGCAAAAATGTATTTTAATTATGTAAAATCAAAAGTGAAAGCGTCTAAGGTAAGAGAAACAGATGGGAGCTTTCCTCAGTTTATATTCTTGAATTAAACCTTTGCTCAATCACGTTTGCCAGATTTATGAATTCCAATTCTACTCTTCGAGGCGGATTTAAAAACCTGCGAAATATCATTGGAAAATATTAGCAATGGAGAGCATTCCTAAACCCGCATTCCACAGTATTTGTTGATTATGAAGTTATCAGTTTGTCAGTAAGCTTGATGAAAGTTTTAGACTAGATAGGAAAACTACGGAGAATTCACACCATACATTTACAACAAGACTGATTAGTAAGAACGCCATAAAGATCAGACTGCAAACACTAAATATTGATTGCTCAGTTGATTTACTCCGAATCTCTTAAATTTGCAAGCGCTAAAAACCCGGGAAAAGGCCCGGGAAATCGACTACTAATTTAACTTTATGAGACATCAACTAAGCGAGATATTCTACCTTAATCGGCTCCAGGTGAAAATTGTGCTCTTCGACGACTGATAAAACTGATATCTATGGGAAGTAGATTTTGCGCCGTTGCGTATTCTACGAAACGGTGCACAGAGAATGGAACAAACTGATGACGCGTAACGCCTTCTGGTATCCCGCATAAAACATATTTAGGCTCCCAGTAAGACGTCGTCTGCAAATTCGTCAACATGGAACTGATTACGAATATTTTAGCAAGCAAGCATAGGCACGCAATGTGTGCGAATGTCAACGACTTTTCCAGATACAAATTTCTTTCTGTCATGCTGATAAACGTGCTAATACATAGCAGTGAAGGGAGTTGCGAATAAATGCATGTAAATCTAGTGGTGTAGCTTTTAAAGGAATTGCACGAGGTCAAGAGTATGATCTATATACAATCTGTATATTCACCATGATAAACACATACAACCTTTTTTACGACATCTTAAATATTTAACGCAACTTTGAATTATACAGTTGCATGTAGTTTATAAGGTTGGGACTATGCTTGTATTTTTTCTTGTGTTTTATGGATTTGCGGGTTTTTTTATTTTTAATAACTGCCCTGTCAGCTGATCATGAATGGTCCCAGGTCATTTTATTATAAAATGCGCAAAGAGCGAGAGGAGAGCAGTATACAGTGTAATACTACCTTCAAATTTTCCTTTACTCCTGGTAGAAAGAGTTACGCCCTTTCGCTTAATTAAAACACGGGTTTTCTCTTTGGAGTTTGAAAAAGTAAAAACTATGGCTATCTATAAAATTTAAATTTTGATGATCAAAGTAAAAAACTTGTTTTATTTTTTTCGTTGCTGACTTTTCTAAAAGAAATAAAAACTCGAAAAAGCTAAAGAAACCTGGAAAAAGCACAATTGTCTGCTAATTTACCTCGATGAGACATCAACTGAGCGAATGAAGTACCTTGATCTGCTCCAGGTGTAAATTGTTCACTCGATGGACGATAAAACTGGATGACTTAATATCGGGGAATCTATGGGAAGCAGATTATGCGTCGCGTGCATTCTAGGAAACGGTTCAAAGAGAATTCGAAAGAATGGAAGAAACTGATTACGAGGCATCCTGCTTAAAACCTAAAACTGAAGCCGCACTTGGACCAAACTGGTCCACATTGCCAGTACTAATCACAGTTTCCGTAGCATTAAGCAGCTGAAAGCATTGCTATTCCGTCTGGAGTTGATTTTTGTTCATCACAGTATACTCTCCAGCAGTTGTGTCCATCGAAACAATGGGCCTCCCACAAACATGGCGAGATAATTGTAGCGGTCTGACACAAGACAACTGAGAATTGCGGTTCAAGTGATCTAGATTCGAATTCGATTCAATTCCCCACGTTACTATAAAAGCACTCGGAAGCTACCTCAGAACTGGATATTCGTATATTTTAGTGTTCAACAGACGGTCTTCTAAATACACCTACAGAAAAAAGTCGACCCAACTCAATATGTGAGTCAGAGAAAGTTGTCAAATTTTTGAGTAATTTCTGAAGTCTCGTAATTGGCGGTCTTACTCCACTTTCTTGACTTTCTGTAGATTACCACAAAGTGCGTAAGGTCTCTCTTGGAGAAAATGTAAAATATTATCACGAGAAATAGATGACATTCATTACTGAACATTAAATTTCTTCTCTGTTCAAGGTAATAAATGAGCATGCATTTCTTGTCCCGATTTTCACTGTTCTTAAATTTATACACATTTTCTAACTGGCCATACCAGTATTATAATAGTCTGAAATAAAAGATCTGTACCAAGAGCTGTGCCCTTTTCCACCAGCCAGGCTCGATACAAATCTCTGAACCTCAGAGGGCGCTTCTAGTATAACAATATAATACAATTATGTAAAATTAAACGTGGAAGTGTTTTGGTAAGCGAAAACCTTACTAACTGCTTGATAAAATGGATAGAAAATTTTCCATAGTTTATCTTGTTAAACTAAACTGTTGCTTAGTTCACGTTTAGCGACTTTGTTAATTCGAATTTTGCTTCAACACAACTGATGGAGAAACCAGCGAAGTCTCAACGGCATAATATCATTAGTGAAAACATGCATTCCACAGCGTTTGGTAAATGTGAAGCTAGCACTGAGTCTTTTTCAAATTATTTGACACTAATCTTGATGAAACTACATACGTTAACTACAGAGAATTCGATAACATACATTTACAACAAGATTGACAAAGGAATGATTCTGCAAGAGCCACAACATCGAAAACAGACTATAAACAGTAAGTATTGACTAATCAGTTGATTAACTCCTCAAACATGTATAAACGTAAAGAAACCGGCAAAAAAAGGACAATTTCCCGCTAATTTTTAAAGAGAAATCAACTAAGCAACAAACACTACCTTTATCGGCTCCCGGTGAAAATTGTGGACTAGATTGACGATGAAGCTGGTTGACTTGATGGGAATCTATACGTCGGAGGGCATTACAAGTAGCGTGTACTGAGAATGGAACAAACTGATCGGGCGTAACGCCTTGGAGCAGCCTGAATAAAACTTAGACAGGCTCTCAGTAAGACCGCAAGCTGTCGTTTCCAAATTCGACAACACAAGAAATTATGAACATTAAGCCGATAAATAAATGTAGCACGGGATTGTTTTGAACTTTTTTAAGACATATCATGGCGAACAAAAATGGAACTTTAAAATGCGAACGCCATGTTATTATCACCGTTTGTATGTGGAATATATATAATAATTGGTTGATTATGAGCAGTTTACCAGTCGTTTTCAAGTTTATTGTAACTAGACTTGATCAGAGTATTAAACTAGATATGATAAACACCGAGAATTCGATAACTTACGTATACAGCAAGGTGACAAAGAACGCAAACAACGAAAGCAGACTGTAGACAGTGGACAATGATTGATCAGTTGATTTACTTCACCTAACATGCTATAAACGCGAAGAAAGTCAGAAAAAAGTACAACTGTCTGCTAAAAGTTTACCTTGTGAGCAGATGAAATGACCATATGCAGTACCGTAATCGGCTCCAGGTGTAAATTGTTCACTCGATGGACGACAAAACTGGATGACTAAATGCCGGAGAATCTATGGGAAAGAGATTATGCGTCGCGTGCATTCTAAGACACGGTTCACAGAGAATTCGAGAGAATGGAACAACCTGATCATGCGGAACGCCCTCAGGCATCCCGCAGAAAACCTAAAACTGAAGTAGTACTCGGAAAAAAACTGATCCACTGAATTGGTTTACATGGTACTTTAGGAGATCGCCGCGTCCAGGATATGTTAATCACAGTAATTAGATGCTTTTAGAAAAGAGTACCTATCCCTAGAGTTAACTAGTCTTAATGGAAAAAAATATGCACAAATATGCTCTATTTACCAAGGGTGGGCAGCACCAAGCATGGCCTGAAGTATTCCCGTTGCTTTGCGGCAAAAATATATGGAACTCTCTGTCAGAAATAACACGCGCCATGGCCGGAACGTTTAAGGATTCGTCAAGTGAGGTTTTCAATTTAAATTTAATTACACATTTTTTTTATATAACTGTTTAAATCATCATACTCTTGGATTTGTGAATTTACTCACATTATTGAGAATGTTAAATTTTGTATCTTTTGTTTCATTTTATGCACTTACATTTTAACTAGTTTGTATTTTTTTTTTGTTTACTTGTTTATTAATCAATGTATATTTATGTTATTTTAATAGTGGGCTTCCTGCGACGAAGCGTTTTAGCTAAGTAGAGTTTGTCACTCTAATTAAAGAATTATTACACCATTATTATTACCCATTGAAAGCCTTAGCATATCTCATCAGGGAGTTGATTAAAGGGAACATCAAGGTCAAAATAATCCAAAATATTTTTTTGCTTGCATTGGATTGGATTGGACATTACGTCAGTCATATTTTTGCAGACTTTTGAGATGTCATATGAGTCATTTAATTGAATGACTGCCCTTGCTACCAATAGTCCATCCCTGATTGTCCCTTGTGGCATCATACTGTCCTCTCTTCAATTCTCGTTCGGGTTTACATAGTTTCTCTAAGGAAAACTTGATAGCTTTGTGGAAAGTCTCCGAGTCAGCCGAGGAGTCAGATGCCATCCTGAACTACACGTTCACGCCTGCGTAATTTAGCCGGAGGAAGGAGAACCATGTGATTGAAAACACTCTACCCCAGAGTCCTTCGTTTCCCGTTCTGCTGGGCAAGGGTCACGCAGGCTCTCGGAACGTGACTGTGCGTGTAGCAACTACGTACTTCTATTCATACTAACTCTCGGGGTTGTCACGTGCACGTTTACGCTTTCTTCCTACAATCTTTCTCGAAACAGCTGTATATACGTAATCAACGAGAGTTCGATTTAAATTTGGAATGAAAACTTCTCATAAAAAAACATCAGTGTCAGATTCACTAAAGCGATGTTCTGTCTCGATTCATATCCATGCGGCGCCCTTGCAGCAATACGCACGCGTGCCACACACGATGACGCGATTTGGTTTAAACATAGCAAACTTTATATCAGGGGAACTATCTCGTCCATAAAAATGCTTCTTTGTCGCATTTTATGTCCCCTATTATAGCGTCTGCCTTGTGCGAATTTAAGAAAGGTTTCTTCCTTCTCAAACCTTCTGTTTTTCTGTTTTTTTTTCTTTCTGACTTGAACTAGTACTTGAAAAGAGCCAAACATTTCCTAAGTCTAAATTAATTTTGTCAACTTTCATATAATGTCCTAATGCAATCAAACTTGTTTATTCTTTTTCGGAAAGAATTCAATAACGTGGCATTCCAAAATTCCCATGGGGTCCCTTTGATTTACTTTATTACTTGCTGTTTTCATACATGATGGAGGCAGGAAAAAATGTTTCTGAATGATTCAGCCTTTATTTATTCCATTGTTACATTCAATATCCGCACCCATTACCCGCTTTATTCAGTTACTTATTCAGTACTTATTGTGCCAACTAATCATTTTGAGACATCATTGCCGTCATCATTCGCTAGAAGAAAAAAAAGAGAACTTGCAATTATCCAGGGTTAGACTCCAGTGTGATGTAATCGACTCTGTTGAGGATCCCCGTCGTATTGATATCATACTGATTATGCATGCGGGATTTCGTAGGCTTCTTGATAAACATAACAAGCAATTTTATGTGGCAACATGAGCACAAGGCTATTTAAAATTCGACCTTTGTCTTAAAATATAAAGTGGTAGCTTATAAAATATAAGCTACCACTTACGTCATTTGTATACCCAGTTGAATACGTTTTTCACGCCAACCAGTACACGGTACGGGTGTGCAATCATGTTTAAAGGCAAAACCTCCTTCTTTCACGAGGATGCTTAGCATTGAGAATCATTGCAGCCTTACATCAGTACGCCCGGTGTGTTAAATCGATAAAAACGATAATCGATAACAATCGATAAAAATCGATACAAAATTTAAAAAAAATTGTATGTAAATTAGTAAGCGGTGTAGATCACCGAATTTTAAACAGTTTCTTGTTAATCATATTGATTAATCGATTTTCTTTTCTTAAATTCAAATGCGTCTTTTTTCCTACAGTATACTATGAGTAGCAAAGTAGTAAGCCTTGTATCGTGCCACTGTTGTAGTTTTACAATATGTTTAATTTCATTGTGAGAGCAAAGAACATAGTCAAGTATAGACCCTTTTCATAAATGGCTGCTAATTATAAATTCTTTTGTAAGTATTAAAATTAGCCTGACTAACCTCGTTTTTGAGTTGATAATTCGAAAGAATTTTTACTCCCAAACGAGTTTAGTGAGGCTAATTTAAGATATCATGGTAGGTGGATTTTTACCAAATATGCGAAAAATCTTTTTTTGGCTGTTCAAATTGAGAAGACTGAGATAAATATTTTGCAAAAAGAGTGGGGGAAAGGGCTTTTTTACTTTTTAAGTTAAAGCAAAAAAACTATTTTTGAATATTATTGACCCCTTACAGCGCGTTGATACCTCTAATTAAAATTCACCGCCAGCCAGTGTCACAAGTAACGCGAATTGCGGTGTGATATTTCATTTGTGCACGCGAACTGTTCTTGATCTGATTGTTTCATCGTAAGTTGGCTTTCGTTCTTATCAAATTTTCTGTATGTCAGGACGAAAAATTCTTGCTCATTTTCGTCTTCGAAGAGGCCGAAGAGGCGAAAATCTGGTAGAACCCACAGGTTCAGCGTCGAACAAGATCTTTGGCTCTGAGTGACCGTGGGTCGCACGTAACCAAGAAGAATGGTTGAAGGAACTCGAGGACACTAGTCCCGCCAATGAAGTTAAAGGACAAAACACAACAAGTGCTAGTCGCACGAAATTGTTGTAGAACGGACGCGATTCCGAATCTTCCACAACTAGAGAGTCAAGCGCAGATGTAGATGACGACAATGTAGACCTCGAGATTTCCTCTTTTTCATGCTTTTTGGCTTCACGAGGCATGGTTTCAAAAAATGTCTGGGGAACGGAGGAGTCTAAACTTAAGCAATATAATACCAATGCCGCCGACGAAATCTTTTAAGTAAAGATCACGGCAGTTTAACTTGTAGTTTGTCCCTTCTCGGACGACTTCACTGCGATGCGGGTTTCCGCCCCAGAATATTAGTCGTCTGTTTATTTCAAGTTGTCATAACCCATTGTTGTGGTAAACTGACCCATGCGAGGAGGAGATTAACACCAATTCATACAAATCTCATAAAAGGTTTTTAGTGTTTTTCTCGATAAAATAAAACTGCATATAAGGATGAACATGTTTAGTTCGTTTACGCGCGTCTTCCGATGGAATTGGCTGAAAATCGGCAGGTATGTTCTAGGATACCTCCTTCAAAAAACAGTGTCGGGCTTTATTAAATTTCGCTTCCGTTTCAAAGTTATGGCCTCTTTTGTAGAAGGAAACGTCTGCATTAAAAATATCAAAGTTTAGGAGGGTGTAGAAAAAAATCAAACCACATCTGGAAAATCGCAGACACGATTTTTGAGGGTGATGTGTGAGAGAACATTTCCGATGTAAATCGCGCCACTCCGATAATTCACGCGCGGAAGCGAACCAGTTTAAGCGAAGCAGTGTTTCTGGGTATTTCTTTTAATATCACTGCGACAATAACTTTTTAGAAAATTTCAAAGATATCTTTGTATTCTATAACTATTAAGCTTTCAGAAAATGTATAGGTTGATGGGGTTTTCTTTCAAAGCGCCAGCGTAAGAGCGCGATTTCCAAACACTGTCAATCCACCTACCACGATACCTTAAATGCAAGCAAAAGAACGTTAAATTGGCAGCCATTTTTGAAAAGGGTCTATGCGTGAGAGTACTTTTGCGTCCCCATTCCTTACCCGTACATTCTAAAGAAGATAGGGAAATGTTACTGAGGATTTATATATAATTCCATCGACATGAATGCTACGAGGATATATTCCCTAAACTCATACCTATATTCAAGGGGGACGGCAGTTTCGCAGCGCGCTCAGAAGACTTCGCATGCGCATCTTCGAGGGCTGTAACCAAGAAAACAATGTTTGTTTGTCAGCCATCAAAGTGTCGATCCCACTCAAAAACTAAGAATTTCAGTTTGTTGAATTGCCATGTCCAACGACTCAGTTAAAGAAATAAATGATAAGAACAAACAGTCGTCAAGCAATGGATGAAAGGAACACTCACCTGCAGGAATTTGCCTGGCAGCAACTTCCAAAATGTTCTTCTTGAATTTGTTTGGAATTTGTCCTTGTACGGTAAGAGTGCCCCAAATTAACAACCTCAGGCACAAACAAAGCTTGCTTCCATAGCTTTCTTTACTAAGAGAGAAACTTTGGAGACTTAGGAGAGGGGGAAAAAAGAAAATGAGCAAAATACTTGCGATTTAGTCCATGAGGACTCAACCCCACGTGGTATCTTGTAACTTGGAATCCAAAAGCACTGTTTGATGTCCTACCTTTCCTTGGAACTTAGAACTTGTGAGGACGGATCCTGGCGAGATATGTAGTACTTTCTTCATGTACTGACGAAGACTGCAGGCCGGTGCTCTTATTTATTCCCAGTAGGTCACGTGTATTTCATGGATTTCCGTGAGGCCAGCGTCTTTTGTATTATCAATGACAATGCACGCTATAAACATTCCTGTGCGTTAACATGGTTTCACTGACTACCAAACCATTTAATGTCTGGTGCGCTAATATTTTCTTATCTCCCTCAGGCCAAAAGCATATTTTAAGTTACATCTCTTAACAGATAAGACGTTATAAAATCCCCGGTTTCCTATTCCAAGTATTTTCTTATATATTTGATCCTTCTTCTAAAAGCCGCAAAGTGTAACAAAGATTTCGCAAGGAATAAAGAGATGCCCCTTAGTCAAATGAGAAACGTTTTTATTGATAATTACAAGACAGTGATCGATAATTTGATCGGCGTTGAATATTCTTAACAATATTAATTATCTTCAAAACGTGTCGAGAAAGTTCTGGTAATTTTAAAATTAAATTGTCGAACATTTTAAAACGCATTAAAAATTTTCTGTCCACAGAACACGGGAATTACTGGTCCGTTTTATAATTCCTGTTGGAGGAAGACGCATACCCGGGGTTTATCAAATTCCTCCGGTGTAAAGAACGTTTTCAAAAAGCTCCGTTTTCGTGACGGATTAGTGTGGACGGTACGTCTTACCGTAGAAATAAAGCTGCATTTTTAAATTTCTCCTCCGTTGTGTGGACGGGGCCTCGCGTTCAAAGATAATTTAACTGTTGTCGTTCTATCTTGTACAAGTCGACGAACAAAGCTTTTATTTGTAGTCAAAGCAATTATTATTATATAAAAAGAAGGTATTTTTACAAGGCTTGTTTTCGAAGAATCACCATCGCGGGTTTGTTTGCTTCCACAACTTCCTGGAGTGAACGCAAAACAAGCGAGGGGAGAGCAATTCTGTTTCTTATGCACACAGACGGGACAGCGAAGCAAATACACAAATTGATTGTGATATAAAGTTCATGGGAACAGGAATCCAAAGCGCGTGGCTTGAATATCCTTACTGCTAAGAGTGAAGTTGTGAAGGAAAAAAGCAATAGCGTAAACAAAGATTATGCACTAAAAGTGAACTAGCGCTAGATAACTTGTACCGTAACCAGACGTACAAAGTACGTGAAACACTATAGAAAAGTCAGGTGAACGATTATTTTTCATGTAAGTTTTTCGTATTATTAGCTCTTGAATACAGTTGTTTTATTCCAATACGATATTTAATCTTTGGACTACCAGGCAGCTAGCTGGAATGCACACCAGCTTTAGCTACCTTTGTTATTTTGCATGTTTCAGCTATCCTCGATTAACGTAGTCACCACATCCATCATTTGCCGTTCGCTTTATCCAAGTAGATTCATAATTTCGTCCCGACATGTAAAAGTGATCGTAATCATTGCGTAATGTCTTAAATCGCAGTTAACAGTTGAAATAAGAAAATAAACCCCATCAAAAACGATTTATATAGAAATGCATCGAGTTACTGGGAAAAATAAGAACCACTAAACTTTAGGTGCATTTAAAACAAAAACTAAACAATGAGAGTAAGTCTGTGGAATGCATTACGGAAATTACATTTTACTTAATTACGATAAACATGTCAGAAAAAGCCTAACTGAGATCGGGATAAAAATAGAACCATAGGATCATTCGAAATAACCTAATCGCTGATAATTTCGGCAAGAGCACACTCTCATTTTAGTAACATCTACGGCTTTCCTGTGACGTATTCAGAATTATAAAACTAAATCTAATGATCCCCGCGAGCTGCTCTAGTTGTTCTCGGATTCAAAATATACGTTAACATCAGTGCTACGTATAAATTGCAACGTATTTATTGCAAGATAGATGTTTGTTTCAATTTGATTTGATGTATACGTCCAGGGGCCCCGTTTCTCGAAAGTCCCGAAACTTTACGGGCTATTTTCGGGTGTCACGATTCCCTCTGTATCTCAAGAACGGAGGGGATTTCAGTCGTCAAACTTTACGGTCAGTTTGCTTTTTGTTATTTTCAAAACATGTTAAAAGATCGGCTTTCCTGAACAAGCGGTTGGTAGGTTCACAAATGGCTTTTCGGGCCCGAAAACCAAACGCGCGATAAACGGTCAAGAGATTTGACTACTTAGATGTAAACCACATTTAAATCACGTGTTGTCAGATACAAAGAATTGAGACGCACGTGCCGATTAGCAGAGAACATGCGACTGGTAAAAATCACTTCTTTCTTACGGTCTTTTACAGGTATATAACTTTTAACATCCATTTGTTCAAGCTATAAAACAAATATAGTAAGATCTAGATAGCAGCAGACATGTAAAGATTTTAAGGAAAACGACCAATTTTTTAAGTTTGCAAGACATGTTTCGACAGAGCTTCTGTCATCTTCAGTTG